CCCCAAAACCCCAAAACCCCAAAACCCCAAAACCCCATGAAATAAAAACCAAGTTGAATCTTTGACGATGAAGAACCTTAGATTCCGGATTTATGCTTTATGGAGAACGCTAATTAGGAAGAATTCTTACCTAGCAAAGTGTATAGACTTAGAGTTAAGACTTGTGTCAAAATTCTGAATTAACAAGCAGCTGGAAGATCATTAACAGGACATTATATCTATCTTTTCCAGGAGGGACTTATCTGAACTGATTCTGCTAAATTTGAAATGAAGAAAACGATTTTGAACTAATTTGTTCTTAAAGGAGCTTCTATATCTTTTCTCAATCCTTCTATTGCATTGGCTTGCTCACATGGGGTATTCAACAAGGGAAATACAATATTCCTCAAAGTCTTTAATCCAAGCTGAGCAAAGCATACCCTTTACTCACATGAGATTTTTTGTAATGCAAGCTCTCTCTTGAAAATGTCAGCTTCTGTCAAGTCCAGTAAAGAGCATTTTCCAAATTATGCATATCCTAAATAATTCAAATTAGTGGAATAGATTCTTAGTTGATCTCTACCTCTCTAATTCAGGCTTCCAACCCGATACTAGAAGGTTGCTTAACCTTTTTCCTTACTTGCTTGGCCTATCTGTGCTTTTAAGCTCTCCATATGCCTCCTGTATGCACATTGAACACAAATTCTTCCACATCAATGGCAATGTAAAAATTTATAAAAAGTTTAATTTGGCTAATAATCTTGGTGAATTTTACACCTGCGCCTAACTGGACTCAGTCCTTAAGTAGCTTCCTTTGGGTTACACACAAATTTATGAAAAATTAAGACTGAATAAATAGTTCTTTAGTGATTTGTGAAGAAAAAAATTTGCGAAAAAATAATTTGAGTGAAGGAAGGGATGGTTTGGGTAGAGTGAAGGAGTGTAGATGGGGAATATAGGAAAGATTTAAAGACAAAGACTGTGCTATAGATTTAGCAGGATATCCAAATTTGATTTTTTTGTGTTTTTGTTCATTTGGCTTGCTTTGAACTTAAATTAAAGACCAACTTAAAAGTTAATTGATAAAATTTGAGTGACGAATTTCCCATCATGCAATTAATTGCCTAACGCTTTGTTTGAGAGAATCTAAGATAAGAAATACAAGCTCAATAATGTTAACTAAATGATCAAGACACTATTATGACCAATTATTCCATCACTAACTAGGATGAGTTAAGAATCTCCTTCTAAAATTTGAATTTGCTCTCAGTCCAATTTAAAAGCGAAGAGTAGTTTAGAGAGATTTAGCCAGATTAAGAATCCCTGAACATATTCTTTACTGAACTTTAAAAATTCTAAAGTCTCTCGAGGTACTCAATAATGGATCAAATAATGAATCGTGCTTTTGTGATTTCTAAACTAGTCTCAATCTGACCTGGAAATATTTCGTTTTCCTGGTGAGAAACTAAGCAGTCATCAGACATGAAGAATTTAAATTTTTCCTCTTTTCTCTTTTAAAATCAAAATAAGCCGTAACCTTAACTTCTCTCTTTCATATCAAGGTTAGTTTAAACCTCTCTCTTAAGCAAAACTTCTTTGAGTTGTGTCTTGCGTAGAGAATATGGAAATTTTCTCCCTAGATAATTTGTCCTCTCTTGTATATATTTTGGTAAGCAGAATTTTCAAAATAGCTTGAGGTGGTAGAGACCTCAACCATGACTTCTGGCATGATATAAATCCCAGCAAAGATCCTCTGTTGACGCCTATCTGCTCGAATATTGATATCTTTCTTTAAAATCGACTCAGTAAAGATCATTTAAAAATTAATTTTTGAAAATGGAAGGCTAAGAAAACTTCACTGGCCTGTTTAAATTGTCTAAATCCGATCCAACTGCTGGATAAATAACAAAAAATTGCTAATGACCTAAGCCAAGCTATCAACATATCTTTTTGGGGGAAACTATAACCTATATAAAAATTGGAGATTTTTAGCCCAAAACAGCTGTTAATTCTATGAAATGGTACTGACCCATACTCCGTAGTAAATTATAGGAAAAGACCAAAATATCTGCATTGGCACAGGGATTATGGAAGAGATGAGAGTGCCTCTGTTCGGAGAGCAAGTCAACTCCCTACTCTTGCTTAGTTGAGAACAGAGATTATCTTTGAAACACATCAAACAAAACTAGTGAATTTCTGTATAGAAATTTATGAATAAATTATCTAATTTTCCAAAGATTTTGAAATGGGCAAATCTGAGAAAATCTAATAGATTCGCTTCCGGAAATATTAGAATCATCTGATTCTCTTAGAGACCAAAGAGTAATTGAGATATGAAAATGCAGCTGATTGGGTCAGACTAATAACTCTGACTTGCACCTAAAGCTCTAAAATTTCATTAACAGATTTAAATTTTTTACCTGATATCCCCAAATTAAGTATCCATAACTTCATATCCCTTAAAATCTGTAAAAATAAAAACCAAATCAATATGGAAGAGAAGTCACTACAGGTTTGGTAAGCTAATCTTACCTCAAGACGTGTGCAGGTCTAATTGAAACTCAGAACTATCCACTCCCAGGTGATCTCTAGCTTATTTTCTCAGAACTCTCTATTCTTCAGTCAGAAATTAACCAAGTCTGGTCAATAAGTTTGAGAAATTTTTGGCAATAACTTTTTGATAGCCAAACATATGAAATAATCTAATTTGCTAAATTTATGGAGCTACAATTTCCCCTAAATAGCCCTTTTGATAGGACTTATGCTACATTTGGGTGCTGATCAATTAGTTAGAAGATGAGAAGACTCATAGGCAGTGAAGTCAAGGGGTATTTTAGAGAGTAAGCTTAGGCCATCTCAAACACCTTGAGCGTACCAAGAACTTCTATAGAAAGGAAAATTTGCTACAAAGTTAAGAAATTGTGGAGAAGCTTAAAGTTAGAGTCCTCTCTGGATCTCCAAGTGAAGATACAAATCTTTTTCTTCATTTAGTTCACTTATGTAAATTTAGTTCCCTTCAAAGAAGAATTGGAGCCATAAAACCAGTCTTTTAGCAAGAAAGATAAATTTCGGTCAAAATTCTGCCAGTCGAATTGAAATCTTCAGAAATAATTAAAAGAATTTAGCTAAAAAAAATTAAAAATCGCTTACTTTTAGAAAGATTTAGAAGGCTCTGAAGCAAACAGGATTACGACAAAGAATTATTCACTTTAAATTTTCCGAAATTTCTGAATAAAATTTGAGAGCAATGAGATAGCATTGTATCCTTCACTATAACCAATGATTTTAAATGAATAGGTTAAGCTTAGAATCTGAAATATAGCCGCCCATAGTGAAGCTCTTTTATAGAAGAAATAAACGTTAAAATATGTTAAGCTTATAATTTTTATGAAAGTTAAATTTTAGCAAGAATTAGTATGACCTTATCTTAATAATTTATCATCTAAATTAGATTAAAGTAGATCCTATTAAATGCCTAGGATCTTGACTTCATGTAATCAAAAATTTTGGTTCAGTGATCAGGGTCTCTCCTGTCATCAAACCAAGGGTGGGTAGACATTCACTCAATGTCAGGTCTGTCTCTTGTACATTTAGAAGTACACCTTTCAATCATATCATAAGCCATGAGATCCAGCTCTTCAAGGTTCCCAATATACACATTTGAAGGTGAGCAAATATCATCAGAGTCTTCCTCTGTAGACGAAGAGCAAGTCTCTGAGTTCAATGGAATCTTGCCAGTCACCATGAAGTAAAGAGTTCATCCCAAAGCTAATATATCAGCGATAAATGGACTGTAAGGAGTCTCTTTTGACGCCTTAAAGACTTCTGGAGCCATATAAGACTTTGTTCCTAAACACCGTGTTACTCCATATTGTTTGCTCTCAAAAGCAAAGGCTCAGCCAAAGTCTCCTAGCTTTATGTTGAAGTATTCATCAAAGAAAATGTTTCCTGGCTTTATATCTCAATGAGCAATGTTGTTATCATGCAAATGCTTTACTGCATAAACCAGCTGTTTAAAATAGAATCAAGCTTCATTTTCACCAAGTGGTCCATTTCTCTTAACAAAATCGTACAGGCTTCCATTAGGGCAGTACTCTAATACATTATAGGAGACTTCTTCTGTAACTCCTAAGTAATCGTGCATTCCTTCTGGGTAAGACTCAACTAGGTTGATAATATTAGGGTGGAATCCTATTTTTTTGATAATTTCAGCTTCCCTTAAAACCAACATTTTCTCCGTTTCTCTAGAAAGAGTCTTATCCTTCCTAACTCATTTTACAGCCACATCATGGCCGTTTAGATCAGAGAGAAACACTGAAGAGGTGCCTCCATATCCAAGATGATGTTTCAGGTCATATTTACCGTCAAAATTCGGAAGTGTATCGTAAAACTAAAACGAGTGATTAAAATGGTGTCTTTCAGTAAGGATTCACAGAAAACCTGATTAAATTCTTGCCCCAAGGCTCTTCCTTCAGGATGACAAAAAACAGCTATTCTATGCTAATTCTGTACTAAGAAATAGAAGAGAATAAACACTGGTTTTAGAGAATACTTACCATTTTTAATTACTTTATGTACTTTTACAAAGTATTTATATATTCAGCTGAAGGCCATTGGCATGGGGTTTTGGGGTTTTGGGGTTTTGGGGTTTTGGGG